ACCATCTGCTTTAGCGGGATTTGAACACCCATATGTTATCTTGGTCTCTGTATTAACAGTCCAGCGATAATACCATGAGGCCATTGCCTCCCTTATATTTTAATCCTTCCTATTAAAGCATCTCACACCTTCTTACATTTTGTCCTCTCACTCAACCTGTCTGTATCCCCTCACAGATTCCTAATGTCGTCATCATAACATGCTCTACCACTTATTTTTGTCAGCAAATTTGGGCACATTATACTCTGGCCTTTCTCCAAGTCATTAATATCGATGATTAACAATTGAGGTCATAGGACTGATCTTACTGGTTATCTTTCCAACTTGAAAAATCCAGTGAATCCCAACTCTTTGTTTTCTGTATGTAAACCAATCCGCAATTGGTGCTAATATATTACCCCATTACTATGAGCTTCTATCTTGTGCAATAGCCTTTTACATGGCGCCTTATTGAATGCCTTCTGGAAATGAGCTCTTTTAGTTCTGTTTCTCTCTCCACAGATGGTGCCTGACCTCCTCTGAGAGTGGAAACAATTTTTCCTCATTTACTTTATCAGAACCATGAATGATTTTGAGTGTATCTATGAAATCTTCCATCAGCTTTCTCTGCTTTAAGGTGAACAACGTTACCTTCTCTACATTCACGTAATGTCCATTATCCCTCGCAAATCCAGACTGCACCCTTTCTTTAACAGTTTGACGTCCTTTCTAAAGTATGGTATCCCGAATTGAAAATCATGATGGTGTGAATATGAATGAAAATTGCCAAAGGTTCCAGCAAGGCTATGGACTTGAATGCCATGCTGAACTTAATGACCTGACTACACTTTTGTATTTGAGATCTGTTCTCCGTTAGGCAACTGGATAAATTGTCTTACAGGTATTGTATTCAGAACCTAACATTTATCATAAGCCTCCCATTTCTCCTTCAATTTAATCTCTGCGGGGGAGAAATTTGTTTGCATTGGGTTGCTCCCAATGACAATGCCGATTCCCAGAGCAGAGTGTTTCTGGCCATTATCTTTCAGATATAGGTTACATTCAGCTGTAAGATCGATGAAGAATCGTGCGTGGGGAAATTGTGACCACAACATTTTCTGTCATTCAGAAATGCACACGATTTGCCTAGCAATGGTTATAAAAAACCCCGTGCTATCAATTTTCATCTGAGATTGTACACTTATAAAATTAATTTTCATGACTAAAGTCATCGTTCATCGTTATTTATCACTTGCTATGCAATTGAAAGCTCAGATTTCACTCACCTATCTTTATTTTGTCATCTGTAATTACTTAAAGTTGATCTTTAGGCAGATTTTATGAGCATAAACTGAAATAGATTTTTTTCTGTGAAGGAGCTCTGGAGTTTGAAATTTAACTATGCATATGTTGACACCAGAGAATACTATCAGTTTTACCCAGCAATAATGGTGAACACTAAGACACTGTCTGTTATTGTTGCAGCAAAACCCAAGCCAATGGAATCCTGTCAATCAAATCCTCCCCAAGAAACGTTCACTCCTGGTTTGGGATTGATTTGATAAACTGCCTTTACAAATGATTTATCTTTGTGTAAACCTGACTGGGAGCCTTAGCAAATCATGTGATTGTGGAGCCATTACTGTTTGGCTGGATGTTCATTTTATAGCCACACATGCGTATTTTCCAGCAGGTCATCAAATGATAACCATCAGGAACTGAAACCCAGCCTGTTTTCTTGCTGTGGGACACTGAGACTAAATGTAGCATCCACCCGCGCTGCTTTGGTTGATATCAGGCAACTTCACATGGACCAGGATTGGCCCAGTATAACTAACACCATGGTGTAAAACATATTTACTCAATGAATCATTGAAGTACCTCCCTTTAAAGCTGCTAAATTAGTATACTTTGCCTTTCTGTTTAAAAATGTAGTTGATTGAATGATACTGAATTGTTTACAGCAGCAAAAGCAACAACACTGAATATCCATCTTAGGCTTTGGTACTTCATTACAATAGTGTAACAATGGGATATTATTACAAGATATGGTGAAATACTTTTAAAGGGAATCCAAAGTCTATGATGGCCTGCCATCTGGAAGAAAGCTGCTTATTTAAATGTTTTAATAAGGCTGCATTCTTCAGAGTCTATCTGTCTTTCAGACTTAACTGAACAGCTAAAGTATGGTGAGAACTGCTGCATGGTAGGGGTTTGCAACAATATGTGTGGGCAAGGAGGAACAGGGGTATTTCCACCCACCTCTCCCATGAACCTGTAATTGGACCACTCTCTTGCCCTGACAATTAGATCTCCACACCGTCAAGGATCAAACCTCTACCTGTGATTGAATCACTCCCTCCACAACATCCCTGATTACCCCCAGTGACCATTTGTCCCTGCCTCTCCGAGTGGAACCATCTGATTTTTGAAGATTTTTATTAGTTGGGATAATATTGAGGTCTGTTGGTTGGTAGCTGCATTCTTCACTCCTGTACAAACTTCTAAGGAATTAATGACCAACTCCATTTTCACCACTGAATTAATGAAATCATGTGGGTTCCTGAGGCTGGACACTCAGTGAGAGGCCCTTCAGACATGAATGGCCTAAAGCACCATCCATCCCAACCCCAGAATAGGTGGGCACCACTGAAGCATGTAGCGACAGTGTAGGTGCCTTAAGATGCAAGATGGCTAGTGGATGAGAATGTGGCCTTCTGATGCCACTGGCTCCAAAATAGGAGTACATAGAGAAGATGGCTTGCCTCCTGCTACCTGAAGGTCTTTGGCTTCATCAGGGGCAGTTCTGATGCTGGGATCCTCCTGACAACAGTAACACATTGCACACAAATCAGCCTTTAAGTGGTGTCCCATTGAATGTCCATAGCTGTTTGGCAGATAACTACTGACATTGTGCACCTGCCTCCAACAAGAAGTGGGGATCACAACAGGAAGCCAAGCGATAAGCAACTCACGAAAATGAGTAAGTCTAGTCTCACCTTCGAACCTACTCCTGTGAGATTGGGAAGGTTTTTCTCTGCTGTCCCCCACCCCCCCACCCCATTTCTGCTCTGACCTCTTCGTGATCCTCAGTGATCTTGGAGCAATTCTCCATGCTGACCACATACTTCCCCCTTGTAACCTGTACCCAGTGGGAGACCTGTCAGCTCTTGGGCCACCGTCTCTCTTTCTTAAGGAAGCCAATTCTGTCAGTCACTCTAGCTTCCGAATGGGTCTCCTGCTGAAGAAACCCAAGTTCCCTGTAATGGTAAAGGTGTTTAGGGATATCTCCTCCCCCAGTGCTTGGAAATTACACTTCAGCAAATATCAGCAAATTTTGTGAATTCACAGGAAATAATAATTGTCATAATAGTGCAGCAAGATCAAGTCTTCAGATGACCACTGCAGACACCAAGTTGCAGGGACATGCAATGCTAACCACTGTCATTATGGCTGAGTGTACAGGGTCTATGTGTTCTAAAGTGGTCAGGGAGCCTAGTATGTAGTATAACGAGAAGAGACTTTCATCTTAAACAAGAGGCAGTTTATTGCGTGTTAGCAACTAGGGACAAGTTACATCAGTAGAGTAGAAATTGGGCTGAATCTTATGGGTTTTTTGATTTAATGCAAGTCTTGTTGAATTTCCTGGATTGTTTCTTGATGCGAGGTTGAATGAGATCTCTCACTTCATATTACCAAAATCATCTATTATGTACTTACTTTGCCTCAATGGTGTCCCTCTTGCTTGATTCTAGCCCCAACGTGCCACCAACATCCTGTCTAAGCTGTGTTGCTGCACATCTCTGGTGCTCCATGTACGGCGATCATGTCTTTGACTTCTGGTTTTGGAAATTGCTGCCATATATGAGCCTTCATGTACCGCAGCTGGTAAGATAATGACAGAGGATGCTGCTTACCATGTGTCATTCCAGAAGAATCCACTAGTCACTGGATATCTTCTCAAAGATTGACACCCCTAGTACCCGGTCACCTTATAAAGGCTGCCATGTACCTGACAAGTGCGGGCAATCTGGCATTGCCCCTCACCAACAATGTAATGGCCCAGAAGTCTCAAAGCCACACTGTTCACAGCACATAGTTGGCATGGTTGGAGCTCTGTCACACATGCAACCCAATTCACTCACCCGAGATGTGCAGCAACACAGCTTAGACAGAATGTTGGTGGCAGGTTGGGGCTAGAATCAAGAAAGAGGGACACCATAAAGGCAAAGTAAGTACAAAATAGATGATTTTGGTAATATGAAGTGAGAGATCTCATTAGACCTTGGATTGAGAAACAATCCAGGAAATTCAACTGCCTAGCCATAGGTTAGATAATTTACTTGACCTTAGCTAAATCGCAAATAATGACTCTCTTTAGGTCAACACTACTCCAACACCAATGTCCACTGGACACTCACATCCTGTCATGACCACGAGGGGACTTTCACATAAAGACAAGCAATCAGACAATTCCAAAAGTGATCTTTAGTTTACAGCCAGCAAAATCAAACATAAACAAAACAAATAGAGGCTGCAGTTCACCTCCACATTCACGTCAAATGCTGGCATGATGGCCAATGACTATTTCCCATTCCATGAGGGTTTGATGCACCCAGCCCTCATTGACTGGAATCAGGTATCTTTCAGGTACTGTCAGGCTTGTAGCACCCCAGCTAAGTTTTGTCATGGGCAAGGAGAGCTTCCTCCTCCTCGGTGTCCCTATCTTCCTCCTCAGATGACAACTCCCATTTTCCCAATTCCTCAGCATCCAGCAAATCATCTCATGGCCTGCTCCAATTATGCAGAGCAAAGTATGCCAGGATGTGGCACACTCTGCCCAGACAGAACTGGAGAGCACTCCCAGACTAGTCCATGTAGCAGAACCACATCTTCAACAGCCCTATTTTCCATTCCACCACAGCCCTGGTCGAAGTGTTCCTGCCTTCTGCATCAGTTACAGGCCAATGGTGTCATCATCCATGGTCACTGTGGGTAGCTATTGTCTCCCAGTAACTCACCTTGTAATGTTCCTGGATCCTTAAATACTCCGGGTACATGAGAGTGTTCCAGAAAGTAGGAGTCAGGCAGATGGCAGGGTACCAGACACATACCTCCAGGAAGTGGTAATGGAGATCATAGACCACTAAGATATTAATGGAAAGGAATCCCTTCCTGTTGGTGAATTCTGCAGTGTTGTAATGCAGCTGTCTCATGACCACGTACATGCAGTTGATGGTATGTAGGGGAAACCAGCTCGGTCCCAAATGCTGCTAGCAGACTGCAGCACTGACCCCATCTTTGGAAAATGAAACAACCCAGTGCCACTGTCCTAATGCATTTGTGGGTGTATAACTGAGAAATTCTACAAGGGTCACCCGTGGCTCCATGGAAGGAATTTGTCTCATAGACATTCAAAACAGCTGTCACCTTCACAACCACCAAGAGAGGATTGCTCCCTCATCAAACATTTAAATTCTCATTGCATTCAGTACAGTCCACCGGGATAGCTATGTGACAGATAATGAAGCGATTGTATCTGCCCCCCACAGCAAACTTAGGAGTTTCCCAATTGATGGGTAGTCTTTGGCCAGCATTGCCCTCTTTTTAAGTCACTGCCACTAACATCTGCAAACTTGAGGTGCCAGTATTCAATTTACAAGCATTGATGACATGGTGCATTTTTTTAACCAGTTTTTGAACTTTAAGTATGTTCACTCTGCTTGCATTATAAATGGGTAATGAAACGATCACAAATTAAATGTAGTAGCAATTTGCAAGCCCACGCTTTGTGTGTTTGCCCTTTCAATGTCCTAGCATCTAGCAGACAATGGATCCGCTGCTTTTGCCCATTAAAGTGACATTGACTGTGCTCTCCCTGGGCATTGACCTAGTCATTTTCTAATTATATTTCACATCTAGAGAATGGAAAGTGTTAACAGGGAAGGTAGCTCATGGTGGACACCCCAGCAACTTGACTTGGCCTAATCACCAGATAACCCGCTAAATTCTCCACATACACTTTTCCCACAGCCCATTTCCAACCACTTCTCCATGATATGGAGACCCGCCATTGTCCTGCCTGACCCCTGACATACACCTCAATGATGCCCATACTGCTATTCTATGCTCCCACTGTGGAGGCCATGGTGGTGTTCACTGCCAATAAACCTCTCCCTAGCCTACAATATGCTGTAAAGCTGATCTACCTATACCGCCCCCATACCTTGAGTATGTCCCCACCAGCATCCTTCTCTGAACTCCAATGCATTCTTCCGCTATTCCCCTACTAGTCTTGACTGCCCCACCTCATCTAACAATGAACCATCCTTTCCCCGACAGACTTCCCTTTCACCTTCAATGATCAATACACAGACCTCCAGGATTGTAATTTACCAAGGCCTCTGCTGATTCTGAGCAATTCCTAGACATGAATGACCAAACTCTGACTGCTGTCTTTCACCTGACTGCTTGTGATGTCCCTACAGACTGACCACTGGTTATTCCCCAGACTGAAGCTCGATATATCTCCTGATTGTGACCAACCCGAGTGAATGACTGACCATGACCAAGTCTCTGGCCTGTGTCCATGACTGATGGTACGGGGATGCCCTGACTGACTGCACACTACCCATTTGACTGGACTGAGGACTAGACCTCACCCACTATTTGTCTTGGCCATTTGGTTGAATAAATGTGCAGTGTTTGCCAGGCATGCAGCTGGTACATGCTCTAGGTGTAAGACTGACATCTCAGAGCACCATTCAGAAAGATGTGTCCCTCACAGACAGATTCCTGCTGACAACAGCTTATCTGTGTGTCTTGTGTAAAAGACAATGTCAGTAGGGTAATAGACTGTTAGCCTGTGACTCTGGCTGAAGCATCAACATTCTAATAACAAAGCATGGTAAGGCAAGGAAGGCAACACATGGATGCTGGGAGCATACAGGTAGGCACTAAGCAAGCACGTGTACAGGTCTGAGATGCAGCCTGGTCCAATATAGTTGGCAGCTCCTGCAGCAAAAAAATGTCCTTGCGGTAGTCTTTTACTGCTAGTTACTGGTGCACCCTGCAATGCTAGTCCACATGTTTTCGCTTTTCTGTGAGTGGATCACAGATGTGCCATAAAAAACCAGAGGTGTTGGCAAATATTGAGGGGTACCTGAGGCTGGTGCCCGTGGATCGCGCCATGTAAAATTGTTGTGTGGTGACCAACATGGAGATTTTGCAGACTGTGACGATCTGAAATCACTAAGTTCCCGCTCTGACTTCCATACTGAGAATTCTCAATGTCCGGTTTTCTCACAGTGGGTAGTAAGGTAAGAAGCTGCATAGTAATGAGCTGAGATGTGTAGTTAAATGGATTGTTAACAAACAATAATTGCTCTTAATAGGCAACTCACTGCTCAGTAGTGAGAATCTCACCTCGATGTCCATAACTGAATTAAAAGATGCATCAATCTGCTCCTGATGTGGAAATAGGCCTCACTGGACTTCTCACAATAGCCCATGTCATTCAGGCCTCTATGAAATTCTGCTTAATGTTACCAAGTCATGAGGAAATTGTTAGTTATGGTTTATCCTTTTATGAGATCCCAAGATGCCCTGTTTCCCCACCCACGTTCTTACACCTTTATCAGATTTGATGGAGATTTTACAGACTTAATAAATGGATAGATTGTGGCAGTATGATTGGTGGAAGTGGAAGATTTCCTTATATGTTTATGTCAGTTTCTTTAAAAAATAAATTTCTCTTAGACCATAAGACATAGGAGCAGAATTAGGCCATTTGGCCCATTGAGTGTGCTCTGCCATTTGATCATAGCTGATATGTTTTCTGCGCAATCCTTGATCCCCTTACTAATCAAAAACATATCTATCTCTGTCTGAAATACACTCAATGACTTGGGCTCCACAGCCTTTTGCAGTGATGAGTTCCACAGATAAGCCACCCTCTGGTTGAAGAAGTTTCTCCTCATCTCCATTCTAAAGGATCGTTCCTACACTCTAAAGCTGTGCCCTCGAGTCCTAGTCTCGCCTAGTGGAAACATCTTCTCCACGTCCACTCTGCCCAGCCTCTCAGCATTCTGTAAGTTTCAATTATGTCCCCCTCTCATCCATCTAAACTCCATCACACAGAGTTCTTAAACGCTCCTCATATGACAAGTCCTTCAATTCTAGGATCATTCTTCTTAACCTCCTATGGATACCCTCCAATGCCAGCACATCCTTCCTCAGTTTTGGGGCTCAAAATTGCTGACTATATTCCAAATGCAGTCCGACCAGTGCCTTATACAGCCTCAACAGTACATCTCTGTTCTTATATTCTAGCCTTCTTAAAATGAATTGCATTTGCCTTCCTAACTGCCAACTGAGCCTGCATATTAACCTTAAGAGCTAGGAGTCCCAAATCCCTTTGTGCTTCAGATTTTCAAAGCTTGTCCCCATTTAGAAAATTGTCCATGTCTTCTACTACCGAAGCCTGTCCCCATTTAGAAAATTGTCTATGCCTTCTACTACCAAAGTCATAACCTTATACTTTCTCACATTGTTTTCAATTGGTTGCCTCTTTCCCCCTCTCTCCTGGCCTGTCCAATTCCTCTGCAGCTTCCTTGCCTCCTCAACAGTGCCTGTCCCTCTACCTAGCTTTGTGTCATCTGCAAACTTTGCAACAATGTCCTCAGTTCCTTTGTCCATGTATGATGAGAATCATTGTGGTCCCAACACTGACCCCTGCAGATTTCCACTAGTTACCAGCTGTCATCCTGAAAAAGACCCCTTTATTCCCACTCTCTGCCTTCTGCCAGCCAGCAAATCATCTATCCATGCCTGTACCTTGCCCCTAACACCATGGGCTCCTGTCACACTTAGCAGCTTCCTTTGCAGCAACTTGTCAAAGGGTGTCAGAAATCCAAATAGATCACGTCCACTGGCTCTCCTTTGTCTAACTTGTTCACTACCTCCTCAAAGAATTCCAATAGATTTGTCAGGCATGACCACCCCTTGACAAAGTCATGCTGACTCAGCCTTCTTTTACCATGTACTTCGAAGTACTCCGCAATCTCATCCTCAATGATGGACTTTAAATTCTTACCAATGACCAAGATCAAGCTAACTGGCTTATAGTTTCCTGTCTGCCATGTTTCCCCCTGTTTAAACAGGGGTGTTATATTAGCCATTTTCCAGTCCTCTGGGACCCTCTCTGACTCCAGTGGTTGCTGAAAGATCACCACAACAGCCTTTATAATCTCTTCAGCTACCTCCTTCAGAACCCTGGAATGTAGTCCGTCAGGTATGGGTGATTTATCCACCTTCAAACATTTCAGCTTCCCCAGCAGCTTCTCTTTCATGATGGCCACTACGCTCCCTTTTGTCCTCTGACTGTCTTCAAGTTCTCGTATGCTGATGTCATGTTTTTTCTAATGGACCATTTGGATTATGTCATTTATGGAGAGTACTCCCTTACAAATTGATGGTTTCGCCACTCTTGAATCATCTGCCTCATTAAATAAATCTACAGGCTGCCGATGAACGCTGACTTCAGAGAGGATGAAGTTCTAGACCTGCTGTTTTCCATGTAAAATATTCCTGTAACTAATACTACTATAGTGATCTAGCATAGAAGTAGATAGTCATCTCAACAAGTAAATGGCTTTGAAAACAAAAACAAGGAAATTTAAGATGCAAATATTCTTTCCTTTTAAAAGAAATCTACTCCAAACAACCTGTGTGCTAGTTTCTTCCCACAGTGCAGATCAGTGATGAGTACAAACCTTTGTAGATACAGTTGTCAGATTTTCTGATGGTAATGAGTCATCTGATTTTTCAACGTGCAAGTGTCTGTGATGTTATTCGCAGCAATGACCTTGGCATGCTGTAGACTTTAACAATGTCGTTGATAATTAGTTTTGTGAAATATTGCACCAGCTGCGATGACTTACGATGAGTCCCTCTTCGTGCTGGAAACAATACAAAGCCCATCAAATAATGTGAAAAGACATCATTATAAAATTGTTTGGAAATCAACAACCTTTTCAACACTCTTGTGTTACATGATTGAGGGACTGAAATGGTGGTGATGGTAATTGGGTCAGAATGCAAAAACAAGTCTTCTATTCAAAGACTTGTGTTATGTTGTGGTTAAAGTGGAGACTGTGTCCAATGGAAGGACACTAGCTACAGAAAGAAACAAAAATAAAAACAGAAATTGCTGGAA